TTTGCTCCCTGTATAAGATTGTGTAAGATTACTTTCATGTGAAATAACAGAAAACCCAACTTAAAACTGCTTTAAACTAGAAGGAAGTTTATTTATTTATTTATTTATTTATTTTATTTATTTTTTTGAGATGGAGTCTCACTCTTGTTGCCCAGACTGCAGTGCAATGGCATGATCTTGGTTCACTGCAACCTCCACCTCCTGGTTCAAGCGATTCTCCTGCATCAGCCTCATAAGTAGCTGGGATTACAGGTGCATGCCACCACGCCTGGCTAACTTTTTAATGTATTTTTAGTAGAGACAGGGTTTTACCACATAGGCCAGGCTGCTCTCGAACTCCTGACCTCAGATGATCTGCCACCTTGGCCTCCCAAAGTGCTGGGATTACAGGTGTGAGCTACCGTGCCTGGCCTTGGAAGGAAGTTTATTAACTCACACAACTAAAGATTCAAAAGTAACTGGGGGGCTGGGCACGGTGGTTCACGCCTGTAATCCCAGCACTTTGGGAGGTCAACGCGGGCAGATCACAAGGTCAAGAGATCAAGACCATCCTGGCCAACAGGGTGAAATCCCGTCTCTACTAAAAACACAAAAATTAGCAGCTGCGCATGGTGGCACGCACCTGTAGTCCCAGCTACTCAGGAGGCTGAGGCAGGAGAATTGCTTGAACCCAGGAGGCGGATGTTGCAGTGAGCCCGGATCCCACCACTGCACTCCAGCCTGGTGACAGAGACTCCATCTCAAAAAACAAAACAAAACAAAAAATCCAAAAGTAGGACAGATTGAAAAATTGATGTAATCCCATTACTGAAGTCCATTTATTTCTGTTTTTTTTTTTTGGCCTTGCCCTTCCCCATGTGTTGACTTCAAACTCAGGTTGCCAGGAGGCTGAGGCGGGTGGATCACGAGGTCAGCAGATAGAGACCATCCTGGCTAACACAGTGAAACCCCCGTCTCTACTAAAAAAAATACAAAAAAATTAGCCAGGCGTGGTGGTGGGTGCCTGTAATCCCAGCTACTCGGGAGACTGAGGCAGGAGAATGGCGTGAACCCGGGAGGCAGGGGTTGCAGTGAGTGGAGATTGCGCCATTGCACCCCAGCCTAGGCAACAGAGCGAGACTCCGTCTCAAAAAAAAAACAAAAAAACAAAAAAAAACAAAACAAAACAAAACAAAACAAAAACAACTCAAGTTGCCATCAAAAGGACTGCAGCAATTCCAGGCCTTACATCCAAGTTCAATCAGGTCCAGAGGGAGCCTGAATCACTGCTGGAAGTTCTCCTGGAAGAGTGAGGAAAAGCTTTTCTGTAAGCATTTTGCAAATCTTAACAACTCACTGAGGTGAACTGGGAAATATGCATAAACCTAATCCAGTTGCTGGCAAGAGGGTGATATTACCAGTCCAGACTACTACTGAGTCAGAGAATGCTAAACTAAGCTACAAGGGACTGTGGTTGAGTGATTCCTAAACAGTATCACAGTATCTGTTAGGAAGGAAAAAGCAGGAAAACCATGTTAAGTAGGTGAATAACTCACTTTTTTTTTTTTTTTGAGACAGTGTGTTGCCCAGGCTGGAGTGCGGTGGTGTGATTTCAGCTCACTGCAACCTCCACCTCCCAGGCTCAAGGGATCGACCCACCTCAGCCTCTGGGAGTAGCTGGGACTACAGGCTCCAGCCACCTGGCTAATTTTTTTCTCTCTCTTTTTTTTTTGTAGAGATAGGGTTTGCCATGTTGCCCAGGCTGGTCTCGACTCCTGGGCTCAAGTGATCCTCGGCCTGCCAAAGTGCTGGGATTACAGGCCTGAGTCACTACGGCCAGCCCAACTTACTTTTTGTATTCTCGGAATCTTGTAGACACGCTTAAAAAAACAAAAACAAAAATCCTTGACACACAGTTTTTTTTTTTTTTTTGAGACGGAGTCTCACGCTGTTACCCAGGCTGGAGTGCAGTGGCGCGATCTCGGCTCACTGCAAGCTCCGCCTCCTGGGTTCACGCCATTCTCCTGCCTCAGCCTCCTGAGTAGCTAGGACTACAGGCGCCCGCCACCGCGCCCGGCTAATTTTTTGTATTTTTAGTAGAGACGGGGTTTCACTGTGGTCTCGATCTCCTGACCTTGTGATCCGCCCGCCTCGGCCTCCCAAAGTGCTGAGATTACAGGCTTGAGCCACCGCCCCCCCCGGCCGACACACAGAGTTTTGATTTATCTCAACGTTGACTGAAGGAAGCATTTTTTTTTTTTTTTTTTTTGAGACGGAGTCTCGCTCTGTAGCCCGGGCTGGAGTGCAGTGGCCGGATCTCAGCTCACTGCAAGCTCCGCCTCCCGGGTTTACGCCATTCTCCTGCCTCAGCCTCCCGAGTAGCTGGGACTACAGGCGCCCGCCACCGCGCCCGGCTAGTTTTTTGTATTTTTTAGTAGAGACGGGGTTTCACGGTATTCGCCAGGATGGTCTCGATCTCCTGACCTCGTGATCCGCCCGTCTCGGCCTCCCAAAGTCCTGGGATTACAGGCTTGAGCCACCGCGCCCGGCTTCATGTTTTATTCTTGTGTACTACTTTTAGAGTTTAAATATCTTGAACATAGGTAGGAATTTGACTTTTTGGGTGGGAGGGGGAACAGGCATGTCACTTTTTCTCACAGGCTGGAGTGCAGTGGCACGATCTCAGCTCACTGGAATCTCTCTGCCACCCGGGCTCAGATGATCCTCCCGCCTCAGTCTCCCTAGAAGCTGGGACCACTGGCGCATGCCACCACACCCATCTAATTTTTTGTGAGACAAGGTTTCCCCATGTTGCTCAGGCTGGCCTCGAACTCCTGCACTCAAGTGATCCACCCGTCTTGGCCTCCCAAAGAGCTGGGATTACAGGCGTGAGTCACCACACCTGGCCAGCATTTGACTTTTTTCTATCAATAAACCTCAGTGAAAGAAAAGGGTCTAAGTTATTTACCCTTCTGGATTCTTTTGCAGATGGCTAGATTTCCTTGCTAAATCAATTTGTCTTCCAAGACTTAGGTGCTGTGGTAGAAAGGAAAAATCCCAAGCCAACAGACTTACATTTCCTTAACAACTGTATTAATGTACTAGTGACTTTTTCTGGAAAACGTATCATAGTGGAGTCCTTAAAGTTCTTTTTTCTTACCAAAATGAAGAAACTGGAAGGATGAAGATCTGCTTTTCTAGGGTAACAGCTGTCAAATTTAAAAGCTCCATCTGGGGCCAGGTGCAGTGGCTCACGCCTGTAATCCCAGCATTTTGGGATGCCAAGACGGGCGGATCACCTGAGATCAGGAGTTCAAGACCAGCCCAGCCAACACGGTGAAACCCTGTCCTACTAAAAATACAAAAATTAGCTGGGCGTGGTGGCGGGCGCCTGTAATCCCAGCTACTCGGGAGGCTGAGGCAGGAGAATTGCTTGAACCCAGGAGGCAGAGATTGCAGTGAGCTGAGATTGTGCCACTGCACTCCAGTCTGGGCGACAGAGCAAGACTCCGTCTCAAAAAAAAAAAAAAAAAAGCTCCATTTGGGAGGCCCAGGAGGGCGGATTATCTGAGGTCAGGAGTTGGAGACCAGCCTGGCCAACATGGGGAAACCCCATGTCTACCAAAAATACAAAAATTAGTCAGGTGTGTTGGGGGGCGCCTATAATCCCAGCTACTTGGGAGGCTGAGGCAGGAGAATCAATTGAACCTGGGAGGTGGAGGTTGCAGTGAGCTGAGATCATGCCATTGCACTCCAGCCTGGGAAACAGGGCGAGACTCTGTCTCAAACAAACAAACAAATTTAAAAGCTCCAAATCCTCCAAAAATAACCAAGGAAGAGATTTTCCTGTCCGTAACTAGAGATGAGTACTGATGATTATTTTTAATAGGTGATTTTCAAAGGTGTGAACATTTTGTTACCCATGGAGATTTAAGTCTCCAAAAGGAAATAAAACTGCATACCTTTATACTAAAACTTCATCACCAGGCAAATTTGGATCATGACTAAACTGGCTTCTACACCTCTCTCCTAATATAACGTACTTGTATAAGTTTGCAGTTGTGAGACACTTATTTCCTATTTTTTAATGTCTTCTCAGTAGGGCCACTGATACAGTCACTATTTGACCAGAAACTGGCACTGGTGATTGGCTCATAAAGTGCCCTCGATTTAGGGGGCTCAGTTATCAAAGGTTTAAAACTTACCCCAAACTATTGCTGTGATGGGGGCTAATCAAGGAATCATTCAGCTTCACTTGCAAAAGCGGGATCACAATTGCCGCTTTTGTCATGACCCAGACTAGGTGAGATTTAGTACTTGAGTACACTGCCAGGCACACAAGGTTAATTTAACAATTTAATACATTTGTTTCCTCATCCATTTCTCCAAACCTTCCAACTAATCCTAACGTTCGTTCAGCCAAATGCGCCAGGAATTCACTTAAAAAAAAAAAAAAAAAAAAACCGACTCCCTGGGGCTTGGGGAAGGAGGCACCGCCGCCCCATGTCGCAGTCTGGGGGTGGCTCAGTCCTCAGCAACCAGAACTACGGCCATAATGCTCCTCCAGGCCAAGGAGCCCGGATGCGGGGCGTTGCCAAGGGTGTCTTGCCCAGGCTGCGGGAAAGGAGAGGGGCGGGAGCCGGGTGGGGGCAACGCGATCCAGGCTACGGCGGCAATTCGCCCTCTTCGAGTCTCTCCTGTTAGACGCAAGGTGGGAAAAGGCACAACATGGCAACGCCATGCACCTCCCACGGTGGGCAACTCACTGCCGGTGAACGTCAGACCTTGGCAGTTTCCAGACCTTCGGAACCGGAAGCGGAGCCTGGGAGCGCGCCCGAGAGGGCGTGAACGGGACCGCTTTCCCGGAAGTGCTTGCGGCCTCGGCCCAGCGAGCTGTCCCGCGGTCCTTCGTTTCCTAATCGGGGCAGCGCCGCGGGAGAGAACTTTACCTTGACTACACTAAGTTCTCAGTGCCACTCCCTAGCAGGGCGGGACCTTGTTTAGGCCCTGTGATCCCGCGGTTGTTTAGGCCCTGTGATCCCGTAGTAGCGCAAGGCGCAGAGTGGACCTTGACCTGCCTAGGGCGGGAAAAGAGTTTGACCCGCCCGGTCCCAAAGAACAGAATGGACGGGCTCCTAAATCCCAGGGAATCCTCTAAATTTATCGCAGAAAACAGTCGGGATGTGTTTATTGACAGCGGAGGCGTACGGAGGGTGGCAGAGCTGCTGCTGGCCAAGGCGGCGGGGCCAGAGCTGCGCGTGGAGGGGTGGAAAGCCCTTCATGAACTGAACCCCAGGGCGGCCGACGAGGCCGCGGTCAACTGGGTGTTCGTGACAGACACACTCAACTTCTCCTTTTGGTCGGAGCAGGACGAGCACAAGTGTGTGGTGAGGCACAGAGGGAGAACGTACAGTGGGTACTGGTCCCTGTGCGCCGCCGTCAACAGAGCCCTCGACGAAGGTTGGTGCCATACTCGCTGTCGGACCTTATAGCCTTTGAGGTTTCCATTTACTTGGGGAGCGTGTAGCGGGATTCCAAGGAGCGGGTTGGGAGATGGAATAATGGGAAGCGAACCTGAAGTTCGTTGCAAGTCCTGCTTAAAATAGAAGTATGAAAAGGGGCGTATTTTAGTGGGAAATGATGTTAATATTTATCATTGCAGCATAAAAGTTACAGTAGCATAAGTCAGTTTTATAAAGAATGCCATTTGAATGACACCTGAAGAACAAAAGGACCGATGTTATAAAGCAATTTACTCAAAATACATCTGATGTAATATTGCAGTAGTTAGAAATGGGTGAATAAGCACAGATGAACAAGTAGAAAATGAGAGTTTTGCTTTAGATTTTTTATTCATCCACTTTTGGTGCATTCCTATAACATTCATTTGGTTTCATATTAATTCCATGTTGTAAAAGCAAGGGTTTGATGAATATAAAAGTATGACATTGGTCCTCTGAATTTTATTTTTTTCACTAAAGGGATACCAATAACTAGTGCCTCGTACTACGCGACAGTGACCCTGGATCAGGTTCGGAATATACTTCGTTCTGACACAGAAGTGTCCATGCCTTTAGTAGAAGAGAGGCATCGGATTCTCAATGAAACCGGGAAAATTCTGCTGGAGAAGTTTGGAGGCTCTTTTCTCAACTGCGTCCGAGAAAGTGAGAATAGTGCGCAGAAGTTAATGCACCTGGTGGTTGAAAGTTTTCCTTCCTACAGAGATGTGACTCTGTTTGAGGTGAGTTGCTTCTGTTGGGGATTTAAGAAGTCTTAATCATCTCAGAGTTAACTCTTTTACTTCCAGAACTCATTTTGAGAATAAAAACTTAAATTCCTTGTGGAAGAAACTAACAAAATTAAGTAGTGTTTCAAAGTCATTTCTTATGTTTTCTTTTTGTTTGTTTGTTTGTTTGAGACAGAGTTTTGCTCTTGTTGCCCAGGCTGGAGTGCAATGGCGTGATCTTGGTTCACTGCAACTTCTACCTCCCGGGTTCAAGCGATTCTCCTGCCTCAGCCTCCCCAGTAGCTGGGATTACACGGATGCGCCACCATGCCCGGCTAATTTTTTGTATTTTTAGTAGCAATGGGGTTTCACTATGTTGGCCAGGCTGGTCTCAAACTCCCAACCTCAGGTGATCCGCCTGCCTTAGCCTCCCAAAGTATTGTGATTACAGGCATGAGCCACCATGTCTGGCGTCATTTCTTTCTTTTTTTTTTTTTTTTTGAGATGGAGTCTCACTTGTCACCCAAGCTAGAGTGCAGTGGCGCGATCTCGGCTCACTTCTAACTGCTTCCCGGGTTCAGGCGATTCACCTGCCTCAGTCTCCCAAGTAGCTGGGAATACAGGCGCCTGCCACCGCATCTGGCTAATTTTTTTTTTTTTTTTTTTTTTGAGACGGAGTCTCGCTCTGTCGCCCAGGCTGCAGTGCAGTGACCAGATCGCAGCTCACTGCAAGCTCCGCCTCCCGGGTTTACGCCATTCTTCTGCCTCAGCCTCCCGAGTAGCTGGGACTACAGGCGCCCGCTACCTCGCCCGGCTAGTTTTTTGTATTTTTTAGTAGAGACGGGGTTTCACCTTGTAGGCCAGGATGGTCTCGATCTCCTGACCTCGTGATCCGCCCGTCTCGGCCTCCAAAAGTGCTGGGATTACAGGCTTGAGCCACCGTGCCTGGCCCTGGCTAATTTTTGTATTTTTAGTAGAGACGGGGTTTCACCATGTTGGCCAGGCTGGTCTTGAATTCCTGACCTCATGATCCACCAGTCTCGGCCTCCCAAAGTGCTGGGATTACAGGTGTGAGCCACCGTGCCCGGCCTTCCCTCCCCCACCCCAAGACTGAGTCTTGCTTTGACTCCTAGGCTGGAGTGCAGTGGCATGATCTCAGCTCACTGCAACCTCCGCCTCCCAGTTCAAGCTATTCTCCTGCCTGCACCTCCTGAATAGCTGGGACTACAGGCGCATGCCACCACACCTGGCGAATTTTTTTTGTCTTTTTAGTAGAGACAGGGTTTCATCTCCTTTCTTATATTTTCTAATCAGTATTTCATTCTTTACTTTTGTCTTTTTTTTTCCTTTTAAAATGTTTCAAACCTAAAAAACATGGAACCCTCCATGTAATGTTCTCTTTATGGAAAATTAGGTATTTTTAGTACTTCAAGAAGGTTACTTTATTGGATAAAGATCAGAATGTATACTAACCTCCCCCTAATAAAAAGTATTTCTGGCTGGGCTCAGTGGCTCACACCTGTAATCCCAGCACTTTTGGGAGGCCGAGGCGGGTGGATCACCTGAAGTCAGGAGCTCAAGATCAGCCTGCCAACATGGAGAAACCCCATCTCTACTAAAAATACAAAAGTTAGCTGGGTGTGGTTGCATGCACCTGTAGTCCCAGCTACTTAGGAGGCTGAGGCAGGAGAATCGCTTGAACCCAGGAGGTGGAGGCTGCAGTGAGCCCAGATTGCACCACTGCACTCCAGCCTGGGCGAGATAGAATTAGACTCTATCTCACACAACAGAAGTATTCTTGCAAAGTTCAGTGTACTGTATATATATTTTATGTTTTCTTTTTCATACACAGTGTACTTGAACAAATGATGATCATTTTGTTGGACCCTCACAGGCTGCACCTGGATTTTGTTTTTGTAAAATTCTTTTGGAATCTTTTGAACCTGGGAGGTGGAGGTTGCAGTGAGCTGAGATTATGCCACCACACTCCAGCTTGGGCGACAGAGCTGGACTCCATTTCAGAAAAATAAAATAAAAAATAAAATAAATTCGCCAGGCGTAGTGGCTCACACCTGTAATCCCAGCACTCTGGGGGACCGAGGCGGGTGGATCACAAGGTCAGGAGTTCAAGACCAGCCTGGCCAACATAGTGAAACCCCGTCTCTACTAAAAATACAGAAATTAGCTGGGTGTAGTGGTGGGTGCCTGTAATCCCAACTACTCAGGGGGCTGAGGTGGAGAATCGCTTGAACCCAGGAGCCGGAGGTTGTAATGAGCTGAGATCATACCACTCACTGCACTCCAGCCTGGAGGACAGGAGCAAGACTCCCATCTCAAGGAAAAAAAAAAAAGAATACAATTGTATTAGTCTGTTCTCATACTGCTATAAAGAACTGCATTTCATTTATAGCATAGTGCTTTGGTTTTGCTTTGCTGAAAAGTTCAATTTTTAAAAAATGTACCAGAAAGTGACAGTATCTTGGCTCACTACAACCTCCACCTCCTGGGTTCAAACGATTCTCCTGCGTCAGTCTCCCAAGTAGCTGGGATTACAGGCACCCGCTACCATGCCCGGCTAATTTTGTATTTTTGGTAGAAACAGGGTTTCACCGTGTTGGCCAGGCTGGTCTTGAACTCCTGACCTCAAGTGATCCGCCTGCCTCAGCTTCCCAAAGTGCTGGAATTACAGGCTTGAGCCACCATGCCCAGCCAATCTGATACTTTTTTTTTTTTTTTTTTTTTTGAGATGGAGTCTTACTCTGTCACCCAGGCTGGAGTGCAGTGGCACCATCTCTGCTCACTGCAACCTCCACCTCCTGGGTTCAAGCAGTTCTCTGCCTCAGCCTCCAGAGTAGCTGGGATTCCAGGCACCCACTACCATGCACGGCTAATTTTTGTATTTTTAGTAGAGACGGGGTTTCACCACGTTGACCAAGCTGATCTTGAACTCCTGACCCTGTGATCCACCTGCCTTGGCCTCCCCAAGTGCTAGGATTACAGGCGTGAGCCACAGCGCCCAACCCAATCTGATACATTTTTATTTTTTTTATTTATTTATTTTTTTTTTTTTGAGACGGAGTCTCGCGCTGTCACCCAGGCTGGAGTGCAGTGGCCGGATCTCAGCTCACTGCAAGCTCCGCCTCCCGGGTTCACGCCATTCTCCTGCCTCCGCCTCCCGAGTAGCTGGGACTACAGGCATCCGCCACCTCGGCCGGCTAGTTTTTTGTATTTTTTAGTAGAGACGGGGTTTCACCGTGTTAACCAGGATGGTCTCGATCTCCTGACCTCGTGATCCGCCCGTCTCGGCCTCCCAAAGTGCTGGGATTACAGGCTTGAGCCACCGCGCCCGGCTGATACATTTTTAAATGAAAATTGGTACAGAAACCATTTTTCATGAGTACTTGTTTCTAAAATACAGTTTTACAGAAAAATCCCCAAAATGGGCTAGCCATGGTGGCTCAAGCCCATAATCCTAACACATTGGGTGACTGAGGTAAGTGGATTGCTTGAGCCCGCGAGTTCGAGACCAGCCTGGGCAACACGTGAGACTCCATTTCTACAAAAAATTTAAAAACTAGCCAGGCGTGGTGGCATGCTTGTGGTTCTAGCTACTCAGGAGGCCGAGGCAGGAGGATTGCTTGAGCCCAGGAGGTGGAGGCTGCAGTGAGCTATGATAGTTCCACTTTCCTCCAGCCTGGAAGAGCAAGACCTTGTCCCCCCAAAATAAATAAATAAAAATAAACAATTTGCACAAACTAGTCATGTGTTTTTAATGTATACCTATTTACTGAGATTATTTATTTTTTTTTTTTATTTTTTTTTTTTTTTTTTTTTTTTTGAACAGTTGTGTGCCAGGCTGGATGCAGTCGATCTACACTCAAGCTCCCCTCCGGTTACGCCTCTCCTCGCCTCCCAGTAGCTAGCTATAGGCTCCCCCGCCCTAGTTTTTTTTTTTTAGTAGACTTTACTTAGCAGATGTTATCTGACTCATGATCCTTATCTGGATTACTGACACGCGCCCTATCATTCATTTTTAGACATGAACAGATGAATAAAGTTAACAATTTTTAACTTAGACAGATTTAGATCAGTGATTTCCCAACCTGGCTGTGCCCCAGAATCACTTAGGAGCCTTAAAATTCAGATATATTTCCAAAACACCACCCTCAAAGATCCTGATGAATAGGTGAAAGAAGAGCTATTTTTTAAGCTCTTCAAGTTACTCTGATTTAGAGTAATGCAGTACTTTGTAAAAGTTCTAATGAAAAAATTGTTACTGTGACATACTGATAAATATAAAAAACAGCTTTTTGATGTTTCAATAGATAACATTTTATTTTTTATTTTTAGTGGTATTGTTGTTGTTGTTTTTGTTTGAGACAGAGTCTCGCTCTTTCGCCCAGGCTGGAGTGCAATGGCATCATCTCTGCTCACAGCAACCTCCGCCTCCCGGGTTCTAGCGATTCTCCTGCCTCAGCCTCCTGAGTTAGCTGGGATTAGAGGCACACACCACCACGCCAGGCTAATTTTTGTATATTAGTAGAGATGGGGTTTCACCATGTTGGCCAGGCTGGTCTCGAACTCCTGACCTCAGGTGATCCACCCACCGCGCCAGCCTTTGTTTTTTTTTGTTTTTTTTTTGAGATGGAGTCTTGCTGGTGTGCAATGGCGCAATCTCAGTTCATTGCAACCTCCGCCTCCTGGGTTGAAGCGATTCTCCCGCCTCAGCTCCCGAGTAGCTGGGATTACAGGCACCTGCCATCATGCCTGGTCAATTTTTATATTTTTGTAGAGGCGGGGTTTCACCATGTTGGCCAGGCTGGTCTTGAATTCCTGACCTCAGGTGATCTGCCCACCTCAGCCTCCCAAAGTGCTGGGATTACAGGCGTGAGCCACCGCTCTTGGCCTATGTTGTTCTTAAGTATTGGTAATCCTTGAACTTTCTATTTATTCATGATAAAATTATGGAAGAATTTTTTCAAAAAACTTAACTATCCTGGTGTGATGGCTCTTGTCTGTAATCCTAGACCCTTGGGAGGCCAAGGTGGGTAGATCACTTGAGCCCAGGAGTTCAAGACCAGCCTGGGCAACATGGGGAAACCTCATCTCTGTAAAATAACAAAAAAATTAACTGGCCTTGGTGGTGAACACCTATAGTCCCAGCTATTCAGGAGGCTGAGGTGGGAGGATTGCTTGAGCCCGGGGAGGTCAAGGCTGCAATGAGCTGTGATCGAGCCACAACCTGGGCAGCAGTGAGACCCTGTCTCAAAAAAAAAAAAAAAAAAAAAAAAAGAGAGAGAAAGAAAAGAAAAAAATTAACTCATGGTCATAGAGCTTTTTATTGACAATTATTTTATAAAGGTACTATTTAAAAAATACTTAAAATCACAAAACAATATCATGAAATATGTAAGCAATTGTTATTTGGAGATTTACTAGTATTTTTAGTGATACCAGTTAATATTTTAGAGATCCAGAATTTGATTACAAAATCATTTGATTTCTAAAACCATAATGATCTTACTAAGAAAATGTTTTATAGATGGCCGGGCGTGGTGGCTCATGCCTGTAATCCCTGCACTTTGGGAGGCCGAGGCGGGTGGATCACAAGGTCAGGAGTTCGAGACTAGCCTGGAACACATGGTGAAACCCCATCTCTACTAAAAATACAAAAATTAGCCAGGCGTGGTGGCTCATGCCTGTAATCCCAGCTACTCAGGAGGCTAAGGCAGGAGAATGGCTTGAACCCGGGAGGTGGAGGTTGCAGTGAGCCAAGATTGTACCATTGCACTCCAGCCTGGGCAACAGAGCAAGACTCTGTTTCCAAAAAAGAAAAAAAAAGGAAAATGTTTTACAGATTGCTTGAATTTATTTTTGATTCCTCCCTTAAATCTTTTTGTCCTTTTTTTATCTTAATATATTATTATATCTATTATAATCTATGCTTTATATATACTAGTCTGCTACCATGGAAGCAGCAGTGACATGATAATTTATATGTTTTCTTAGATGCTAGCACTGATTTTGTTATTTTTATTTTTTGTTTTTTTCCCTGTGGGTTGTTACGTAAGTTTGATTCCTAGTTTTTTCCATTTTGCTCTATGAATCTTGTTAAAAATAGCAGATAATGGCTTCTATTATAATAAACTTTATGGTGTAGTAATTGTGTTTGACAGACATTTTTATAAATTAAGTCTTAAGTCTTGCAGTTTTTTATGTTTTTTTTTCCTTGAGACGGAGTTTCACTCCTGTTGCCCAGGCTGGAATGCAATGGTGTGATCTCGGCTCACCACAGCCTCTGCCTCCCGGATTCAAGTGATTATCCTACCTCAGCCTCCCGAGTGACTGGGATTACAGGCATGTGCCACCATGCCCGGCTAATTTTGTATATTTTTTTTTAAGTAGGGACGGGGTTTCTCCATGTTAGTCAGCTGGTCCCGTGCTCCCAACCTCAAGTGATCCGCCCGCCTTGGCCTCCCAAAGTGCTGGGATTACAGGCATGAGCCACTGTGCCCAGCCATGTCTTGTGCTGTTTTATAAACTAGACTTGAACTAGAAACCTGGTTGCCATATATAAATCTAGTTTATATAGAGGAACAATTGCCAAGTTGTCATATTTAGATAGGTTTAGGAATGTAGGGTGATAGTGTCATGTAGGAATGTTTTAAATTGTGATTTGTTCCTTCAGCCCCTCAATTTAATTTAGAGACATTATGCCATGTCAGAAAATGAACATGTGTGTTTGCTCTGGAAAACAAATTCTGACTTTGTTAAATGTAGCTTTAGAAGTTTTAATTTATTTAGTATAATAAAAATAGGTCTGGATCTGTTACAATAGGCATACCTTAAGGTTAAGCAATATTAGGTTATTTCTTGTTATGATAGCACATCATTGGCGTTTTGTTAGTAAATAAAAGAATCTGTAGTATCATCTTAAGGAATTTTTGTATAGAGCCTTTCCTTAAACTTTTAATCTCGTATTTATTTGTTTATGTCGGTTACAAGTTAAAATATTCTCCTCCAAGGTGGTCAGGATACATTTTGGGAGCTAGTAATATTGATAAACAAACATTTATAAAACATGATTTAAGGTTATTACTATTGGTATTAGGACTCGTAGTCGATTGTAATTATCTATGTTTTTCCATAGTTTAGGCTGATTTGCATTTGCAGATTTACAGAGTTTTTTTGGGTTTGTTTTTTTTTTGAGATAGTGTCTCAGTCAGTTGCCCAGGCTGGAGTTCAGTGATGTGATCACAGCTCACTGCAGCCTCTACCTCCCAGTCTCAAGCAATCCCCCTGCCTCAGCCTGGTGAGTAGCTGAGACTACAGGCACGTGCCACCACACCTGGCTAATTAAAAAAATATGTATTTTTTTGTAGGCTGGGCATAGTGGCTCACACCTGTAATCCCAGCACTTTGGGAGGCCAAGGCAGGCAGATTGCCTGAGGTCAGGAGTTTCAGACCAGCCTGGCCAACATGGTGAAACCCCGTCTCTACTAAAATACGAAAATTAGCCAGGTGTGGTGGTTGTAGAGACAGGGTTTCGCCATGTTTTGTAGAGATGGAGTTTCATCGTTGCCCAGGCTGGTCTTGAACTTCTGGCTTCAAACAATCCTCCTGCTTCGGCTTCCCAAATTGATGGGATTACAAGTGTAAGCCACCACACTTAACTAGAATTTTTGAGTTAAATTATAACCCACTAATGCTTGGTTAAATTTGTCTTTTCTGGCCGGGTGCGGTGGCTCAAGCCTGTAATCCCAGCACTTTGGGAGGCCGAGACGGGCGGATCACGAGGTCAGGAGATCGAGACCATCCTGGCTAACACGGTGAAACCCCGTCTCTACTAAAAAATACAAAAAACTAGCCAGGCGCGGTGGCGGGCGCCTGTAGTCCCAACTACTCGGGAGGCTGAGGCAGGAGAATGGCGTGAACCCGGGAGGCGGAGCTTGCAGTGAGCTGAGATCCGGCCACTGCACTCCAGCCTGGGCGGCAGAGCAAGACTCCGTCTCAAAAAAAAAAAAAAAAAAAATTTGTCTTTTCTATGTATAAATATAATTGGCTATTTTATTTTCATATTTGGACTTACATATCAACTTTGACCATTTCCAAAGTTGGTAAATATTATCATTTTCTAGCTGTTGATCAATTAATGTCTTTATAAAATAAGTTAATCATATTATCTGAAAGGAAACAGTTAAAAATGAATGTTGTAGTTCTCTTCAGACCTGAGCTTATGGATGATTGTTCTTTATATGTTGCTTTTTTTTTTTTTTTGAGACAGAGCCTTGCTCTGTCGCCCAGGCTGGAGTGCAATGGTACGATCTTGACTCACTGCAACCTTCACCACCCGAGTTCAAGCAATTCTTCTGCCTCAGCCCCCTGAGTAGCTGGGACTACAGGTGCTTGCCACCACACCCAGCTAATTTCTGTATTTTTAGTAGAGACGGGGTTTTACCATATTGGCCAGGCTGGTCTCGAACTCCTGACCTCGTGATCCTGCCACCTCGCCTCCCAAAGTGCTGGGATTACAGGCATGAGCCACCACTCCTGGCCTATACTTTGCTGTATATTATACAATTAATGTCAATTATATTGCAATCAGAAAAACAGACGTGTTTTAATTTAAGAAACTTTCAAAAGGAATGCTATCTACACATTTAAAATAATAAGCCCTTGGATTATATTGCAGGAATGTGTATATGAAGTTTTGCCATTGAAAAATAATACTAAGTAGTATCAAGATTACATAAATTGTATTTTATGTGCCTTGAAAAATGGGAAGTGAGTTTGGAGTGATAGAAAATTTAATGTTTATTAAATCCTTTTGTTTCCTGTAAAAGATCTATGAATTCTTGTTTTTTTTGAGACTGGGTCTCCCTGTGTCACCCAGACCGGAGTGCAGTGGTGTGATCACGGTTCACTGCAGCCTTGACCTCCCAGGCTCAGGCGATTCTCCCACCTTACCTCCTATCTGGGACCATAGATATGTGCCACCCTGCCCAGCTAATTTTTTGGTTTTTGTAGAGATGGAGTTATGCCATGTTTCACAGACTGGTTGAACTCCTGGGTTCAAGCAATCTGCCCACTTCAGCCTCCCAAAGTGCTGGGATTACGGGCGGGAGCCATGTGCCCAGCCGATCTATAAATTCTTACCAACAAAGTAAGATTATTCTGCCTTTTAAAAAATGTTTCAACCTTCACCTTTAAAAAATAGCATATATAAAACTTTCAGATACCCAGATAACGTTCATATTCTCTTCATTCATCAGGGGAAAAGAGTTTCTTTTTACAAACGAGCCCAAATCCTTGTAGCAGATACGTGGAGTGTATTGGAAGGAAAAGGAGATGGCTGCTTTAAGGACATCTCCAGTATCACCATGTTTGCTGATTATAGATTACCTCAGGTTCTTGCTCATCTTGGAGCCCTGAAATACTCTGATGAACTACTGAAGAAGCTTCTCAAAGGTTTGCAACTTTAAGTCATTCTTTGTTATACTATGAATTGTTGGATCTTGGTTTAGTTGTTTGTTTTTTTTTTTTTTTTGAGACGGAGTCTCGCTCCATCGCCCAGGCTGGAATGCAGTGGCGCAATCTCGGCTCACTGCAAGCTCCGCCTCCTGGGTTCAGCCATTCTCCTGCCTCAGCTTCCCTAGTAGCTGGGACTACAGGCACCCGCCACCACGCCTGGCTGATTTTTTTGTATTTTTGGTAGAGACGGGGTTTCACCGTGTTAGCCAGGATGGTCTCGATCTCCTGACCTCGTGATCTGCCCGCCTCGGCCTCCCAAAGTGCTGGGATTACAGGCGTGAGCCACCACACCCGGCGGTTTAGTTTTTTTTGCAAAAGATCTCCTTTGCTTTAAAAAAAAGAGAGTACTATTTATTGTTCATAGTATATGTAAAGGAGAATGCAAAGATAAAATGTAGACAAAATGATTTTTCTTTTTGTTTGCACTGTGAAATGTGGATATTGTAGAAAATTGTGCTCTTTGAACATTATAATTTCATAGCCTAATGACACCTAAATTTATGTTACATTAAAGTATGTAACACTGCCAGTTCATCAGGTATAGTATTTGAAAAGTGTTAATTAAGCTGAAGAGCACACTACATGGTGATATGAAGGGTAGGCTGAAAGATAGGTAATATGAACTGACTTTTGAGTGAAGAGACTCCAAAGTCTGCACTGGGATATCTTGCACAAGTCACTCACTTCTCTTGGCTTATTCACCATTATTGGATATGATTATTGATATCAAGACTAGGAGCTTTATGATAAATAAGCATAGGTAAATTGGGTTGAAAAGTTTGTGTGAAAATTAGCTTATAACATTTCCTTGTATGAGGAAAATAATTATATGATTTTCATGTTAATTTCCCTTTTAGGTGCAAAATTTTCTGCTACTTTTTTCTTTTTTATTTTATTTTAATATATGTGCTCAAATTCCTGGGCTTAAGCAATCTTCTCACTTCAGCCTTCCAATGTGCTGGGATTACAGGCATGAGCCACTGCACCTGGCCTCTTTATATATTTTTTCTTTTCTTTTTTTTTTTTTTTAAGACAGAGTCTTGCTCTGTTGCCCAGGCTGGAGTGCAGTGGCATGATCTCAGCTCACTGCAAGCTCCACCTCCCGGGTTCACGCCATTCTCCTGCCTCAGCCTCCCGAGTAGCTGGGACTACAGGCACCTGCCACCATGCCCGGCTAATTTTTTGTATTTTTAGTAGAAATGGGGTTTCACTGTGTTAGCCAGGATGGTCTCGATCTCCTGACCTCGTGACCCGCCTGCCTCGGCCTCCCAAAGTGCTGGGATTGCAGGCGTGAGCCACCGCGCCCAGCTTTTTTTCAATTCAAACCCTATACAGAGGCTTCACTTAAATGCTGTCCTTGCTCATAGTGATTTGTCCATCTCCTTCTCAGTTTTTATAGCACTTAATTGTCTCTGCTACTATGAGAAAAACCGTAGTGAGAAGGGATCATCCAGCATAGTTGTTTAGAGATGTCAGAATTTTCTTCTCCCATCCATTTCAACTCCAGAGGCTCTTTTCCAATATCCATTGGCAGTCATTACTGCCTCCATTTATGCCTTGCTTCTAAAAGGGTTCTCTCCTATCCTTAGCCAGTTTGATATAGGGTGGACAAATTCTTTTGCCACTTAGTGCATTTAAGTAAAATTTGGATTTTGTTTTCCAAAAAGTATTTTACTGCAAAACGAGACCAAAAATAAACAAACTGTAAATGTAATGTAACAGACATAAGTATAGTGTACTCATTTTTAAAAACTACCTTAAGTGGAATCTAGGACCAGCTTAGTTTGACCAGGTGAGGTAGGACCTTCCTTAACTGGCTTCCAATGGTACTTCTAAACTTGAGGATTTGCTACACTGGTATTCCTTCCCTTCTCCCCTCATCTGGGTATCTCAGGGACAGCCCTTGGAAGTGCCACCTAGATTTCTGTCCGCTGTCTTTAACCCATCTCTTCACCGAAGACATAGTACTTGGCCAATTATAAAAAACTAACAATGCAATTTGACTAAATTTAGCTTTTCACTGTGATTCTAGGGCCAGCTTTTAGACCAAATACCTGGGCCATATACCTTCCCTGACTCTAATCTCTGTCAGTCCACTCAAATGTCTTTTTCTGTCTGAAGTCCATGTTCTACCCCATACTGTAAGTTGCCGTATTAGTTATTACATTAGTTTCCTAGGGCTGACATAACAAATTACCACAAACTAGATGGCTTCAAGCAACAGAAATGTATTGTGTCACAGTTCTGGAGGATGGAAGTCTGAAATCAAGATGAAGATGTTGGCAGGACCATCCTTCCTCTAAAGGCTCTTGGGAATAATTCTCCTTGCCTCTCCCTAGGACTTTGTGGCTCCAGCAGTCCTTGGCATTCGTTGGTTTGTAGCTGCATCACACCAATCATGGCCTTCTTATCCTTGTGTCTCCTGTCTCTTCGTATCCTCTTTTTTTTTTCTTTCTTTTTTTGAGACGGAGTTTTGCTTTTGTCGCCCAGTGCAATGGTGCCATCTCGGCTCACTGCAGCCTCCTTCTCCTGAGTTCAAGTGATTCTCCTACCTCAGCCTCCTGAGTAGTTGGGATTACAGATGCCCACCACCACGCCTGGCTAATTTTTGTATTTTTAGTAGAGACAGGGTTTCACCATGTTGGCCAGGCTGCTCTCGAATTCCTGACCTCAGGTGATCCACCCACCTCAGCCTCCCAAAGTGCTTAGATTACAGACATGAGCCACTGCGCCCACCTGTATCCTCTTCTTTTCTTGCTTGCTTTCTTTTTTGTTTAGAAACAGGGTCTTACTCTGTCACCAAGGTTAGAGTGCAGTGGCATGATCATAACTCACTGCGGCTTCAAACTCCTGGGCTCAAGCGATCTTCCCTTCTCAGCCTTAGCCTCCTGATTAGCTGGGGCTACTAGAGGTGCATACCACCATGCCTGGCTACTTTTTCCATTTTTTGTAGAGACAGGATCTCACCTTTCCTTCATTGGATTTAAGGTTGATCCTAATCCAGTATGACCTCATCTTCACCTGATTACATCTGCAAAGTCCCTGTTTCCAAACAAAGTCAAATTCACAGGTACCAGGAGTTATGACTTGAATGTATCTTTTTGTGAGCCACAGTTCAACCCACTACTATTATCTATTGCTGTGTAACAAATTACGCTAAAATTTAGTGGTTAAAACAACAGACATTTATGACCCTGGGTCAGGAACCTGAGTGCCGCTTAACTGAGTACTTCTGCCTCAAGGTTACAGTCCAGCCGCCAAGTGGAGCAGTGGTCTTATCTAATAGCTCTACTTGGGTGGGAGCATCTGCCTCCTTGACCACTCTGTTGGTTGATTTGGCAGTTTTAGCAAGTTGATAGTCAAATTTGGAGGAAGTGATTAACAGCAAAACTGAAGAGGGAAGGTATGGGCTTCTATACTAGCACCTGGTTCAAAGTAAGGAAGTGGAGGAACCTGGTTAATCGCTGTTTTCCCATCTGTTCCACTGACCAGTGCCTAAGCCCATGGGAGAGTTGGATGGAGGGGGGCATAAGTAACACTACTTAAGATCACAAGATCTCCTGGGTACTGTGAGGCTTTGTGCAGGGGTGCAGTTTGGTGGCCAGAGGCCAAATACAGCTTGCAGTTGTGTTATGTTTGGCCTGAAAAATGATGTTAGCAATTTTTAATTAGTTTCCAACTCTTGAAAATTAGGAGATTTCCCATAAAAATCAAACTTCCTGACTTCTCTCATAAGAAAAATATGGAAACATACAGTACCTTTGTATAGTACTACGTTCACTACCTAGCTCACTACAGTTTGCCTCTGACTGCTGCATATAGACATGGGTCCATGAGTCCTACTCTAGTCTCAGTGGCAAGGCACAGCCAGTACCTGCCTTGCAAGATCAGATATTCCCCAAATAACTATTCATTTATTTTGGAGATAGGGTTGGCTCTGTTGCCTAGACTGGAGTGCAATGGCCTGATCTTGGCTCACTGCAACCTCTGTCTTCTGGACTCAAGTGACCCTCCCACCTCAACCTCCCGAGTAGCTGGGACTACAGGCACATACCACCATGCCTGGCTAATTTTTGTATTTTTTGTAGAGACAGGGTTTTGTCATGTTGCCCAGGCTGGTCGAACTCCTGAGCTCAAGTAATCCTCCCACCTCAGCCTCCCAAATTGCTAGCATTACAGGTGTGAGGCACTGCACCCAGCCTGCAATAATATTTTTTTTCTGGTATCAAACCTAATTTTAAATACCATCTTTTTAATAACTAGCAGTCATATTTTTAAATTTATGGTCACCACTTATTCATTTATCAAATATTTATTGGGGAGCTAGTATGTGCAAGGTGCTATGCTAGGTCCTGGGAATATTGAGACAAGCCAGATGTGGCCCCTATCTTTGTGGAATTTAACTTGTAATTTAAAATCAGTGCCTACGTTTTGAAATGATTTAAATTACCAAAAATAAAGTCTGAGGTTTACAGTTTTAAAGTGAGTACCATTTAAATACTATGTTTTGTTCTACAGTAAAGTTCTGAGTAGATTTGGTATCATTGACTATTACTTTTTCTTACTGTTTTTCCCCCTTGCAGGAGAAATGCTCTCATATGGAGACAGGCAAGAGGTGGAAATCAGAGGGTGCTCGCTTTGGTGTGTTGAGCTGATCCGGGATTGTCTTCTGGAGCTTATTGAACAAAAGGGTGAAAAACCTAGTGGAGAGATCAATTCCATTCTTCTGGATTATTACTTATGGGACTATGCCCGTGACCATAGGGAAGATATGAAAGGAATTCCGTTTCATCGCACACGTTGCATATATTATTGACCTCAAGTGTAGACTGATCCAAAGAAAACCCCCTGCATTTTATATCATATCATCTGTACAGTTTTGCTTTGATATTTAGAGAACATGATCGAGGTTATAGGAATGAGGAAATTGATTACCTATTCTCACTTTAAAAAATACTTCCGGCCGGGCGCGGTGGCTCAAGCCTGTAATCTCAGCACTTTGGGAGGCCAAGATGGGCGGATCACGAGGTCAGGATATCGAGACCATCCTGGCGAACATGGTGAAACCCCGTCTCTACTAAAAAAAAAAAATACAAAAAACTAGCCGGGCGAGGTGGCGGGTGCCTATAGTCCCAGCTACTCGGGAGGCTGAGGCAGGAGAATGGTGTGAACCCGGGAGGCAGAGCTTGCAGTGAGCTGAGATCTGGCCACTGCACTCCAGCTCGGGAGAGAGAGCGAGACTCCGTCTCAAAAAAAAAAAAAAATAATAATTCCTAGGCCGGGCACAGTGGCTTATGCCTATAATCCCAGCTCTGTGGGAGGCTGAGGCGGGTGGATCACCTGAGGTCAGGAGTTGGAGACCGCCTGGCCAACATGGTGAAACCCCATCTCTACTAAAAATACAAAATTAGCTGGGCGTGGTGGCACATAACCTGTAATCCCAGTTACTTGGGAGGCTGAGGCAAGAGAATTGCTTGAACTCAGGTGGTGGAGGTTTCAGTGAGGCGAGATTGTGCCATTGCACTCCAGCCTGAGCAACAAGAGCAAAACTTCCTCTCAAAAAAAAAAAAAAAAAAAAATCTTCCTAGGCCAGATGTAGTGGCTCACATGTATAATCTTAGCACTTTGGGAGGCCAAGGCGGGAGGATTACTTGAGGCGAGGAGTTCAAGACCAGCCTAGGCAACATAGGGAGACCCTCATCTCTACAAAAATTTAAAAATTAGCCTAGCGTGGTGGCATGCTGTGTAATCCCAAATACGTCGTAGGCTGAGGCTGAAGAGGGTGGATTGCTTGAGCCTAGGAGTTTGAGGCTGCAGTGAGCCACAGTCATGCCACTGCATTCTACCCTGGGCAACAGATGGAGACCTTGTCTCAAAAAAAAAAATTCCTGACATATCACTGTATATTCCCAACTTTATCATTTGTCTGCCTGTTTAGTTTTGACTTACTTTTTTTTTTTTTCTGTGGACATGCATTTGACAGAAATAGTGAAGGAACTTTAATATTTTATTTAAATTTCTTAAAACTAATCATGCCTTATGTGACTAATCTTCAGTGATAATATTTCATCTATTGATATATTTTCTTGAGGTATAGTAATTTTCAGTATACCTTAATCGTTTGGTATAAAAGAGGTTTTTGATGTATGAATGCTGTTCTTATAAAAATCAATCTCGACACTTTATTTTAAACTTTTTATTGGTAATGATAGTGGGTTTTGTACATCATGATTTTCAATTTAGGATATCTGTCTGTCTAATTTGTTTTTGCAGAGTAACTATATTGGAATTGAATAAAAATATTCAAAATTTTTCTTAAACCTGGAATGGATTATTTCATTAAAATAGAATTTACCATATATAATTTTAAAAGATTCACTGTAAGTTAGATTATTTACTTTCTGTTGCAGAACTCTCATTACCTGTCAAGTACTCATTTCCCACCACCCCCGCCACGTTCTTTCTAACAGAATCTTCTTTTTTTTTTTTTTTTTTTTTTTGAGACGGAGTCTTGCTCTGTTGCCCAGGCTGGAGTGCAGTGGCCGGATCTCAGCTCACTGCAAGCTCCGCCTCCCGGGTTCACGCCATTCTCCTGCCTCAGCCTCCCAAATAGCTGGGACTACAGGCGCCCGCCACCTCGCCCGGCTAGATTTTTGTAGTTTTTAGTAGAGACGGGGTTTCACCGTGTTAGCCAGGATGGTCTTGATCTCCTGACCTCGTGATCCGCCCGTCTCGGCCTCCCAAAGTGCTGGGATTACAGGCGTGAGCCACCGCGCCCGGCTCTAACAGAATCTTGATTGTGTTAGGTATCTACCTTGTCTGCTTGCTGTGACTTCAGAAGTCAGAAAAAGATGCCCTTTTCCCAAGCACTTTACTGCCATCTACTGGAAATTTGTCATAATAACCTTACAAATGACTGACTACGAGTGAGGCCTCTTGGAGTTGTGCAGTACACAGCTTGCACAACCATAGTAGTGGTCCTCTGTCTATCCCTGTCCTGTGTGACTCAGGGGATGGTGATCCCACCGCCAGTTCTGCAGGCAGATCTTGTATGAATGGTTTACTATTCCTAGTCACTTTACTCTCCTTGCCTGTGATTGTTTTGATAACGGGTATATAATCTAGTTCTGGACAGTGATACTGGATGACAAGTCTGCTGGGAAGCTTTTAGAAAAGGATTCTTCACTTTTAAGAAAGAGATACAGGACAAAGGTCCCTTTTCTTCCTCTGAGCAAAGCTTTTAGCATGATACCTGCTATATCATGCAGGTAGCCATTTTGTGGAGCTAGAGCCCAGCTATACCTTTCATTCCTGAGCCCATCCTATCCATGGACTTCATATGTGAGATAATAAACACATTACCTTATTATTTCCAGCATCTTGAATTAGTATTCTGTAACTTGTACCAGAAAGCATCGTAACAGTTTCCAGTGTAATCTCTGGGCCTCTGCTCCTGCCACCCTTCCGGCACTTCTCCCTGTTCTCCCTTCCCCCTTTCCCTCTTCTCCCCTTTACTTCTCTGCCATCCTCTTTCTTCCCTTCTTTCCCCTCCCCCCTTTTTCCTCTCCTCCACTCTCTTTTTTTTTATTTTTTATTTTTTTAGAGATGGTCTCACTGTCACCCAGGCTAGAATATAGTCGTGAGATCATAGCTCACTGTAACCGTGAACTCCTGGACTCAATCCTCCCAAAGTGCTGGGACCACAGGCACATGCCACTACATCTGGCTAATTTTTAAATTTTTTGTAGAGATGGGGTATCACTATGTTGCTCAGGCTGGTCTCAAACTCCTTGGCTCAAGCAATCCTCCTGCCATTGGCTTCCCAAAGCACTGAGTTTACAGCTGTGAGCTGTGGTTTCCCACACCCAGCTGCCTTTTCTCTTCTGACACTGAGCATAACCTGGAATCACAATCCTGGATGCCTGCATTCTAATCTAGGTAGCAGGATTGAAGAAGCAATAAAGAAGAGTACAAACAAAGGGCTGAAGCCAGGTGCAATGGCTCGCTCCTACGGTCTCAGCCACTGGGTGGTGGGGAGGGACTGAGGTAGGAGTTCATGTCCAGCCTGGGCAATGTAGCAAAATCCAATCACTTAAAAAAAAAAGGAAAAAGAGGCCAGGTGCGGTGGCTCAAGCTTGTAATCCCAGCACTTTGGGAGGCCGAGGTGGGCGGATCACAAGGTCAGGAGATCGAGACCATCCTGGCTAACACGGTGAAACCCCGTCTCTACTAAAAACACAAAAAACTAGCCGGGCGAGGTGGCGGGCGCCTGTAGTCCCAGCTACTCGGGAGGCTGAGGCAGGAGAAGGGCGTAAACCCAGGAGGCGGAGCTTGCAGTGAGCCGAGATCGCGCCACTGCACTCCAGCCTGGGGGACAGAGCAAGACTCCGTCTCAAAAAAAAAAAAAAAAAAGAAAAAGAAAAAGAAAACAAACAAAAAGGGTTGATAAGAAAGGCTCTGGTAGCCACCACATTCCATTTTGGTTTCATCTTACTAGAATTTAGTCATGTGACCACAACTAACTGCCAAGAAGGCTAGGAAAGTGGCATGTATTATGGGCACTGGGTACCAGCTAAACTGTGTAAAGAGTACAGATGGGCCTGGGCATAGTGGCTCATTCCTATAATCCCAGCACTTTGAGAAGCCAAAGGCAGGATGATCGCTTTAGCCCGGGAGGTCCAGGCTGCAGTGAGCAATGATCACCACTGCACTTCAACCTGGGCAACGGAGTGAGACCCCAGTCTCAAAAAAAAAAAAAAAAAAAAAAAAAAAAAGTATGGGTGGATACTGGGAAACAGCAAGAAGTTTTTGCCACCCATTACATGGATTTTATTATTTTCTTACCTGATACAGACTAAGAGCATTAAAATAACATTTTACCTAATGGCTTTAACAGCCATTGATGATCATTTTTCAGATCTATTATTTCATCAGGGATTGCAAAATGGTAATGTTCTAGTTCTAACATCTTTGGTGTTTGGGAATTTGTGTGGAGATAACATCCCTCTTGGATTTCAGGGTAGTCTGGGGGAACATAATTAACATGGGCATAGCTCCTGACGTTCCAGAAGAGAATGGAATGTAGAATTAAGTTCTGAAAGTGTTTTCAGTTGTGTTAATTCATTCTGCACACCCTTTTAAAGATAATGAAAATGTGCACAGCCTCCTGAAACTCCTTGGCACAGCCCTCCCTTCAGAGAAGTCTTTTCTAATTCCTTGGTGACTCAGTTTCCTATAGTAGCCTTTGATTTGCCATCAGTTATAAAATATTTTGTTTTATATACAAATTTCTATTATTTTTCTTCAGAGGCGTCCTCATGATTTGCCTAGCTCTACAAACTCAAGTTGTTTAGCCAAGGCACCTTGTCAATGCCTTCCAACCAAAGTAAACAGGGTAGATTTATTACTTGTAGCATGGGATGTCTCAGTAGGAGGATTATTTGGGGCAGGGTCTAAGGAAACTGTTCTGTTGAGATTGGATACTGTCAGAAAGCAGGATCAGTTATACTATCGGCTGCTCTACCATTGACAGCCTCAAATTTTGTCTATAGGGAGGGCAGACAAGAGCAAGGATAAAGCTCTCATTGGTAAAAAAAAAAAAAAAAAAAAGGTTGGCAGTCACTCATATTAGTGGAGATAGGATGTTTAGGTACTTTGCATGGCACGGTGCCCTTGTATTTGTGGTTACGCAAAATTCTGAAGTAGTCTTATTTAGTTTTACTTTATCATGGTCTCTGAGTAACTTTTCTGATATTAGTATTCTGTGAGATTATGTCCAACAGAAGACTAACATGGTATAGCTGTGGGTGCCAGGCCAGCTTTTTGTCAGGGGCTGCTTTTCTTCCTTTATCAACCTTAAACTTCCCCCTAATTAGCACCAAGGCAAATTAACAGATTTCATTTCATTCAATTCAGAAATCATGTATTGAGCTTCCTCACAGTGTCCCCTCCCCTGAAGCTGAATGGATAATGGCTTAATAATCTGGTTGG